GCTTCATGCGGTGCACGTACCGAATAAAAATTCGAAACAGTGGGACTGCAGCCAGCAGCAAAGAAAATGGAATATCATTTTAAACGAATGTGTGATTTTTATGCTGAGATACCCTGCTCAGAACGAAAAAATAACTTTAACATAGGATAAGTATTATTATAAAGTCCAAAATATTCTCATAACACAATAACACATCAATATCATCATAATAATACCTGAATAATATGAAATAACACGGGAGAAACGCGCTAAAACGATTTTTTTTTTATTTTTCAATCACCTCCACGTGTTTGCGTATCAGTGGACTCGGAATGTAGCTCTACGTTAGAAGTACTGATGTAATATTTTTCAGCTCCGAACAAAGGTGCTAACAAATCAAGTTGAAATTAAAAAATTTGGTGTGTCATGAGGTCCTTAATTAATCATTAATTAAGCTAATTAAATAATAATTTATATAACTCAATTTACATAAAAATAAAATAATTTTAATTAAATTTAATATTTAGTCAATTTAAGAAAATAAAAATACTTTAATTAATATAGTATTCTTTCACTTGACAAATATTAATCATGAGTAGATATTTAAATTTTTATCAATTATAATCACACTAATTAAGGTTTAATTATATAAAATAATATTTTAATTAATTATTGATTAAGTATTCATAAATCTAATTTAGAATAAAATTGATATCAAAATAAATTAAATTATAAACAATATTTGTTTAATTAAATTAATATTTTCTTAATTAATTAATTTTTATTACTAATTTAAAACAAAAATTGAAACTCTTATATCACCTTAGTGAATTTAATCATCTAGAATCTCTTCTTTTTTTTTTTCTTTTAGTATTCATCTACTTGAAATCCTTGACATAAAAATAAGTTTGATAGTTACAACCGACAACTAGAACTTACTGGCTAAGGCGTCAACGAGATCCCTCCTCTTTCTCTCCCACCCACATCTATTTGATATCTTATAAACAAAAAGTAGTGAAGAAGTAGCAATGATTTTAAATCCAAACAAATATGCAATTTAGTAAATCTCGGAGTTTGGCCAAATAGAGATAAAATAGTATTAAAAAAAATTACATAGTTTATTTTGACTTTTGACAAGATTTAAGCTAAATCATATCTTAAAGCTACTACAGAACATCCTTCTAATCTTCAATCATCCAGAAAAATCATTATAACATAATAATTTGCAAATGAGCTTTCAAAAACTTTGATTCAAATATGATACTTGAAGCATTATTCTTGGTTGTAGGCTACATCGATTCCTTATTGTTCTAAGCAAACTCATAAAGAGGTGAAAAACTTGAAAGGTAATGTTTTCATCTCAACTCACTAATTCTCATACAATGCACGCATATGTTAATGAATAAATCAAAACATGGTGCTTTTTTTTATGAATCTGAATCGTTTTATGCATTGCTAACTTTTGCAGGAGTGTTTGCATGCTTCCACGAGATTGCCTCCATATATCCCCAAGTGCTTGAACCAGCAACATCTTGAATAGAGAAAGCATTTGAAAGTTCTTCCAAGTCATCTTTTGTTAGTTTCACATTTATAGCGTTAATGTTATTGTTCAGATTCATGATCTTTGTTGTCCCTGAAAGTAACATGAAATAACTAATAAGAAATTTGGCACGAATATTATACAATTACTAACCTCAAATTTTGTGAAATTACTAATGATAATATCACATTACCAAAATTGTATGAAGAAAAGCTTAGAGAAAGGAACAAACTGTTTATTTGAAAGAAAATTATTTATTTTGCAATGAACAAAACATTTTAAACAAACTCGCATATTTTATTATATGAAAGGATAAATACATACTTATCTAAAACTTGATGGACTTGGTTGCTAAAATTAAGATCTTATGTTTATCTTCATACAAGCTTCACATAATATCTTAATTTGTTTTACTAATACGCAAAAGAAATTATAAGTTTTTCACAAGGAATCTCACCTGGGATCGGAACAACATCATTTCCTTGATGAAGTACCCACGCTAAAGCTAATTGAGTTGTTGTGCATTGGTGCTTATCAGCTAGTTTTGCTAACTTGAAGAACAATAACTTATTTTTCTTTAGATTTTCTTCACTAAATCTTGGATGTGAAACCTAAAATAAAAACATATTTCATAATGTGTTGAATAAAAAGTTAGAACGATGACCATTTTTCATTTATAAAAAAAAGTCACATTGACAAATTCAAACAAAATAATACCAGTGAACTATTTGTGGGCACACTTTCAAGGACTGCTTTACCACCAAAAAAGCCACGACCAAGTGGGCTATATGGAACTATTCCAATTCCTAGCTCTCTACAAAATGGAAAGAAGGAAATGTATTTAAATATAGACACGTAGACTAAAAATAAGTAAAGTTGGAATGTCAATATATATATATAAATGGAAGGCTGATAAAATGCACAAAGAAAAAAAAATTGATTTCTCTATGCCTTCTGATTATCCACTTTGGTTTTTATTTCAAAATAAGCATGGGTATTTACAAGAATTCCATACTCCATACATTCTTATTTAAGGATAACTCTACATGCTTAAGCTAATCATAATAATATAGATGATAGAGAATCACATCTCCATTAAACTAGTTGGTGAAAAAGAAAGAATACTTTTTAAGCATATTAATCCCTCGCTCCCTATTATATTCATGAAAATCCAATCTTCAAGTGTAAAATTCAATGAGTATTACTGAAGTCCAAGTTAACTAACTTTTCAAATGAAATTTTTTTCCTTTCTGCAAACACATACAATGTTTACTAAAGCAAAGACATGATATACCTATCTAGAGTTTTGTTGGTCTTTTCAGCAATAAAAAGAGCTAAAATTTAATCAGCTTTTGATATCAATTCTTATTATTTATTTTTATAATAAATTGAAGTTAAGCTATGAAAATAAGAAAACGATAAATCAAAATTTTAATTTCTAACATGTAAAGTTCTTAGGACAGACTACAATAGTGAATATAAATTATTGACCGATAATAACTCTAATAATAATTAAATTTGTCGAACCTGCAGAGTGGGATGATTTCTTCCTCAATATCTCTAGTCCAAAGAGACCACTCTATTTGCAATGCACTAATTGGATGAACGGCATGTGCTCGCCGGATTGTATCGGCGCTCGCTTCTGAAAACCCAACAAACCTCACCTTACCCTCCTCAACCAACTTCTTAAGCTCCCCAATCTAGGATAACAAGAAGCCATAATTAACTTAAGAACACAAAAAGAAGTTACAGAGTCAAAATTTTCATAAAATTTAATGTTTGATGAATGCTCTTACCGTTTCTTCAATTGGCACAGTTTGATCAACACGATGTTGATAATACAGATCAATGTATTCCAACCCAAGCCGATTGAGACTTCCTTCCAAGCAAGCTCTTACATACTCTGGCTTACCATTTATAATAGGATTGCCTGCTTCAGTAAGTCCTACAACCCCAAACTTTGTAGCCAATTGCATCTTTTCTCGTGGAAGCTGCTTCAACGCCTGCAAGTATTCATTTTCTCAAATACTAAATATAACATTGCCTTACTAACTAAAAAACTTTCTTCCATTCAAATCTTTCATTCGTCCTTACTAAGGAAGAAGTTAGCCAGTAAAGACCGAAGAAAATAATGGGACTTAACACAGACCTTGCCAACCAGAATTTCATTAGTATGAGGTCCGTAGATATCAGAGGTGTCAAAATAGGTGACACCTTTGTTAAAAGCCTCGTTGATGATGGATGTGCCGTCTTCTTCAGAAACAGAAGAATTATACCGTCCAGAGAGACCCATACACCCAAACCCTAATTTTGATGCCTAAACAAACAGAAATGAACAAATAAAAACTTGGCATTTGAATCTGAAGAAACTAAGAACTTCAAAGACTGAGTTTGCTACCTCCAATCCCTGTGATCCCAGCTTTACTCTGGGCATCAGGATTTTGCCTTGTTCTTCCATTTCTTGTTTTCAGAGAACTCTCTGCAAACAAAAACAAAGTTTTTTTTTTTTTTTTTTTTTTTTTTTGGCTTGCAAATATTTGATTGTTGCGATTCTTATGGAGAGGGTAAGCAAAGCTAGCTGGCCGGGTTTCAATTTATAGATTGTCGCGGTAAGGTTACGCTATAAGTAGTGCTCTCAGTGCAGAGACGATGGGTGAGGTCAGCCCATGCATCATTTATAAATAGGAGGCAGATTATTAACAATTATTTCGTTTGTTAATCTTATAATGTTATTCTACGAATATTTTCCTTTTACTTAATTAATTTGATGACGCTAATCACCCTTATGGTCAACGTGTCCTTTGACCATTCCGAACGTCCCAAAACTGTGGGTCCATCTTTACATGACATATGAGCTGACGTGAATTAACATAGTTGCCGACTTGCCGTTATGCTGCTCCTCTGAATTTGCTTCTTTATGAATTTCTACTATTATAAATTGGTAGGAATATATTATATATATATATATATATATATATATATATATATATATATATATATAGACTTAATTTTGAGATAATTACATCTATAACACCTGAAACATTGCTATTTATAAATCTAACACTCAAGAGTGATATTTTTCAACTACCAAACTGATGTGCCCCTATTAAATCATTGATAATTTGATTAAAGTGAAGAGTCATGAATTTTGAAATTTAAGTGAGAAATTAAAAAATAGTTGAACGAGGGCGCTAGACTTGTAAATAATAATGTCCCTTTAATTTCTTTTTTTTTTAATTTAAATAATGCAGTATTGTTCATCTTAATAACTTAGCCAAATTTCATATATATTTTTACGCTAATTTTAGAATTTTTACATAAAAAAGTCTTTATTATAGAAAATATATTTAAGCAAATACTTTTTTTTTATATATTTTTTCAAAAATTGTTATATATATATATATA